AAATAAAAACCGAAAATGAGATCATCTTAAAATTCTAAAATGTTTACTATAATACTAGATGGAGTACCTTTTTTAGTTTCAGAGTATTAAATTTACTGGAAATGACCATTTTATTTTGCGACATCAATTTTACAATGCTTTATCTGGTCATCCCAGCCTGATCGCGGGCTAGAGCGAATTCTTCGAATTTCGCAATTTTCAAGCAATCCAACACTTTCACAAAGATTTTTATTTGCGATCATTTCGTTGGAAAGAAGACACAAATATGTTATCTAAATTGTGAAGTAAGAAAGATTTAATTGAAATGGCAAGTGCTTCATCAGAAAGTGTTCCTGTTGATGAAATCAACGAACTACTCACATGTTGCATGTGTTTGGAAACCCTACAAGAACCACGAAGCTTGGCTTGCTTTCATAATTTTTGTAAAGTCTGTTTAGGTGAGTATATTTTACTTTTTAAAAAAATCTACTTTGCACATGCTTGCATGAGTACCACAGAATAGGAATATATCCTTATCCTGTGATGGGTAATGACTGAATTCATAATTTAATACAAGGTTGGAAAGATTAATGTTAATTTACTTGCAAAGATAGTAGATTAATATTACTAGATAGGAATATATCCATTCCCCGATATTAGTCGTTCAACTGATGTATTTAATATATGCACTGTATGCTTCTCATTTTAATACAACCTTGTCTACACAGCAAAAAACGCAGAGCCCGCTGCTCAACAGGATTGAACAATGTTTTGCTGCCCACGTTGTTCACAGTTGTCAACAATATTGAACAGTATTTATTGTTGAGCCTGAATTGGGTGTAACAATATTGTTCAATATTGATGACAACTGTGAACAATGTGGGCAGCAAAGCAAATGTTCAATCCTGTTTTCAATATTGCAACAACCTTATCGTTTTTTGCCGTGTAGGAATGATATACAACAAAGAGGATATATATACTTCATGTAAGGCCACATAAAAGGCCCCCCTCAGGATTTTTTTTTATTTATTATATTTAGAAAAAAACAACTTTTATTGATCAACAGGCTCTAATTGTGATATTTCTGTTGACTGTAGTCAATTGTGTTAATAAATTTTGAAATTGCATGCGAAAATGACGGTATGAATCATATTTTGAAATATATAAAAAAAATATCTGTACTGCACGAGAAAATCCAGTTTCGGACCTAAAACCAAGGAGTTACGAAAATTAGTATTAAATTAAAAAAAACCCCGCTCGCCCGCCCACTTTTTGGCAAAAGCTAAGGATGCTAACCAACTATTTTTTATGTGGCCTAACATAGTAATAGAGGATTGTCTCCAGTATATTATATATATTTATTATTAATTAAATTATTAGTAAAGTTAAAAGTTAAAAACTAATGGTAATTTACAATGTTGGACATAGAAGAAATGAAGGACTTATCGAAGCGATCACTACTACAAAGCGGAATGTTAAATCTTCACACTTTCAACGACTGAAAGATCCAACCCATTATTAACTGACAACGATTTGAAAGAGTGCCAGTTCTTTACACTTGTCAGTGCCCATTAATTCAGTTGCATCAAATTCTCCCTAGACCAGTCGGCAACAGCATTGATGGCATTTTGGGCATCGCTCTTGTTATTGCGGGGTACAATTTCGGCAATCGTGTCATCGACATCTCAGTTCCATTTGTTCACATCATGAATGACTAGATTGTTTATCATTAAAAGAAATAAGCATGGCATGGACCCAGTGGCTGCTGCTGGTACCGAACCCAGTCAGAGCAACAGTTGATGGCTAACTTAATGCACTGTTTCCGGTTGGTCAAAAAGTCAATTACCCAGTACGCGACACCACAGGGAATTGAGATAGGTTGAACATTTTTTGGACAGAAGAAGGTTGTGGTCAGTTAAGTCGAATGCTTTTTCATAATCGAACAGAAACTGTGGCACCTGATCCCTCTGTAGCTTTCAGCCAGTGGTGAACCATAGACACTAGGGCATGAGTTGTAGAGAATTGGGTATACAACCATATGTTTTCATATCACGTCACAGGGGTCAACTTTAAAACAAAACACAGTTATCAGAGTGAGTCGATTGTTCGTTTTATGTATTTGGTGGCAAATACATGGAATTTCATATAATTTTCTTACTCCAGTACAGCATAAGCATCAATACATTTGAGGTTGACCCCCCATCAGATTCACTACATAATGCTGTAGTGAAAGCTAATTTACTGTAGATGAAATTTTGGAAATTATATTTTGTAGAGACTTGTGTAATAGTCATATCCCAGCGGGCAAAATGACGTTTATCCAACGTTGAATCAACGTTGGAAATGACCTTCCAGACGTTCGATAGACGTTGAAAAAGGGTTGACTATGCAAATTGGATCGACGTTACTGTTTCGACGTTGAAACTACGTTGGAATTAGGTTGCCAATCTCGTCAACCATAATTCAACGTTGAATCCACGTTAAAACAACGTTGAGATTGGTTCACAAATCGACGTCGTACATTTAACCATGAATGAACGTTAATTCAACGTCTGTTGGCTGCTGTTGAACCAATGTTTGTAAAACAACGTCAGAGCAACGTAGATATTAGGTTGTCGACGTCGCAACCTTTTTTCTACCAAATTTCAACGTTGAAACAACGTCGTGTGCCCGGTGGGATGCAAATATTAATTATGTATATTGAACTATTATTGCATGATCTTCCGCATTCTGAAAATTGCGTTGCTTTTTTATACAATACAGAATAAGTCTGAGAAGAAAATTCATGCTATGATAATGCATACATGTGAATTTAAACTAAATCTATTCTTCGAACCATATATATAATTATCTACAACTGCTTTAACAGATTTTACAAATCAAGTTCCTCCAGTATATCGTCGTTTTCCTCAGTCGAGACGTACTTAATCAGTTTCAGCTTCGAGCATCTGACATGTACTCCCCCGCCCCGCCCCCCCCCCAAATTTCTGTACGGATTTAGACTTTTTCAGAGAATGGTTTTTGTGGCGGTCGCCTTCGCCTACGACACTGTCAGGGACGAAAGCTCATACTAAATAAATATTTAAAACATGCAGAGAACGTCTACAAACGTATTATGAATAATCCTGGTTTTGCTGCAAACATATTTAAAAGAATATATATTCTATACACTACTCTATTCACAAGAATACTCCTGTTTACAACCTAAAAACTATTAGATTAAACTTTATTGTGTTGTTCGATTCCATAGACAATTGCACTTATTTTTAAAACGTTGTGTCCGACAGTAAAAATTATAAGACTTTTCTCCACTTAATCTTGTTTCTCTGTTCCTAATTTCACAAACTTTGTGTGCCAACAATTAATCATGCAGTTTATGACCAGGATCAAGCAATGCCAATGACTTATTAAAATGAATACACATACTGTATCTTCTCTACGACCATCTAGAGTTTTAATATTGCATTCCACCAAAGCCTCTTCATATGATAACTCAGGAAGCATCATTCGAAGCTATAGCTCGTTTTTTAATACGCTCAATATCACGTGTGTATAGTTAAACCGCCGGCTCAATTGTAGCTTGTGCACCGCAATATACGGTTGAGGGTTTTGGTAGTCATAGACAGTTTAGAAATAAGTTCTAGATTTATATTACGCCTTAGAAATTATTAGTTATATTTCTATTACTTTCTGTCTTCATATCTTTCAGAAAAATTAAGCTGTGTTTATTAATATCTTATTTAATTTATTATTTTACTCAACATTAGTTTCATTATGTATCCTAAATTTAATTGTATTTGTGCAACGTTATTTAGGAAAGTATGTTGAACGTCTTCGTAGTGCTGACAAGAACACCGAGACATTCCCATGCCCTACATGTCGCTCAGAGTTTACTCTCAAATCAAACCAAGTGTTGCTGAACTGCCAAGCAATTATTTCATTAAGAATATGCTGGAAATTATGGTGATTCAACAAAAAGCAAAAATATCTACTGCGTGCTCACGCTGCCAAGATCCTGCCATTAATCACTGCGCATCATGTGAAATGTTTATGTGTAAGAAATGTTCAGAGTTGCATGATAGCTGGCCTGGCATCAAAAATCATAAAGTGTTATCGGTACAGGAAGTAAGCAATCCTGAGCATGAAGTGGAAATGAGAAGCAAGCTTTACTGTATGAAACACAAAGACAAAGTACTTGAAATATATTGTGAAACATGCAAGGAACTTTGTTGTATGCTTTGCCTGTTGTTAAATCACCAGAAACAAAACCACTCGTGTGTGGCCGTTTGCGAGATCGCACAGAAGCAAAGAGAAACGTTGCAATCAAGCTGCTCAACACTTGATGAGAAATTCGCTGAAGGAAAGGAAGCGTTAAACAACATTTGTGAAGTGATGAAGTCTCTTGAAAAAAATGTTAAAACGGCTAAAGATCAAATCAAAGAACAAAAGGAAAATATCCTGAAGATTGTTGAAGAGAAACTTGATGAGAGAGCAAAGATAATGAATGACGACGTGGACAAGGTTTATGGTGAATTACACAATGAAATGAGAAAACAACATGATGAAATGAAAAATTATGTCGATAAAGTCCAAGCTTCAGTTTCTTTGCCAAAAAATCTCCTGAAGAGAGGAAGCATTGAAGAAATGCTCTCATCACAAAAATTGATTGATGAGAAAATTGAGAAGTTGAGCAAACAGCAACCAGAGAATTTGGCCGCAGTGAATGATGGTAGTATTCAGTATGTACCGGAAGACATTGGTAATATCAATGTTGATGAAATTGTTGATAAGTTGGGTCATGTGGAAGGTATGTGCAATTTACAGTATATTACCGTTCAGATTTGAATTCCACTACCGCTACCACTAACGGACGATCAACTAATCAGATGTGTTTGATATATTCGATAAACCAATCGGATATGTACTAAGACTGTGAAAAGTAGTTGTAGCGGT